CCCCATCATTTTCAGTTAGACAAATGTGAGAAGGGGCATAAATTAAAATTAAAAATATTTTTAATAAAAAACTTAGAATAAATAAATAATACATATCCACCATGTCTTTCTCTCTCCTAACAGTCACTTCCCATGATTTTACATCACTTATTCATATGATACTTGATAGTCTCCGAGCTTTTTCTCAGCCACCCTCAACACATATAACTCAACTATGCTAAGGTCCAATATTATCAAAATCAAAATGTATAAAAAGGGTCTTTCTTGGTTTTTCAATTTCCTCTTCTTTTTTCTTTAGTTAAATAAATTATAAATACAAGAGATTATTTATTAGTTAAAAAATAAAATGTTGTTTTCACCACAACCTTCTGTCTTTGTTGGTTGCCACAGTGATTTGGACTTGAAAGCTCCCATCTTTTCATTTCTATTGACACTGATATTTGATACATCACTTGCCTTGTTCATGTCCTCTTTTGACCCTCCCTCCTCTCTTAATCTCTCTTCCTCCTCTTCCCTATTCCTTCATCTTTGTCAAACACTGTGTTCAAGTAATGCACTCCAACACCTGGTCATCATAATCATCATCAAAAAAACGTCGCCATAAACCTTAGCTAGCTTCGAGAGAGAGAGAGAGAGAGAGAGAGAGAACAAAAGATGGGGTCTTTGGGTGTTGAAGTTGCAGAGAAGAAGGCAATGTGGCTCTACCCAAAGGTTATGGGATTCAATCCTTCTGAGAGATGGGGTCATTCTGCTTGTTACTCTCAAGGGATTCTCTATGTTTTTGGGGTATGTAACAATAATGTAAATACTTTCTCAAAAAGAGAAGAAAGTTCAAGTTTTTTTCTTCTTGTTTCATTATACTAAATGAATATCCAGAGCTTCTATGATGTTGTCTTCTGGGTTTTTATTTTTACTTAGTTTTGTGGTACTTTTATTAAACTTTCTTTGTTTGGAAGTCGGATCAATTTCATGCAGAATGGTTCCCTCTTAATTGTTGGTCTGCTTCTATCACCATTAGTGCTCTTATTTAATCTTCTGTCCTTATAATTTGATTAAGAATTTTTTGTTGGTATTTGTTTTTTTTAATTATTATTTTCCTTCATTATTATCATAAAAAAAAACCTAGTAATCCAGTCCTCGGTATTTTTGGCTACTGAAAAATAACTTTCTTCACTGGCTTTTGTTCTTTCCTTCTTTCTCTTTTTCGTTAGAATATTTTTCTGCGTTTGTCTAATTAGTAGGACAGATATTTGTTGGTTGACAGTCTACTCACTTTTCTCCTCGTTTACTATGTTTTCATTTTCTCTTTTTTTTTGTAGAAATTATTATGATTTATTTTCTTTTACTTTATTGTTTCTTTTTCTCCTCATTATTTTTCATAGCTCAAATTTTCATAGTTAAACCAAGTCATATGAGAACTTTTTTGGTTTAAGACATTTGCATCGCACTCCCCTGCTAAAACTCTTATCCTTCCAATTTCTTTTATCTTTTTCTCTCTGTTGTTCTCTCACTAGAAAAATGTATGAAAACAGGCCACAGATAGAAGTTAAGATTTTCTGGGACTTTAGTTGCATTTTTCATTCTTATTGAATTCAGGCTAAGGACTTTAACGCTTCAGCTTTTAAAGGAACAAAGAGAAACAAAATTTACAGAGGAAGGTTGTTAGTATTTTTTACTTAATTAATAAATTTCTTCCTCATTTTACTTGGTAAAAAGAAATGGAAAGTAAAACTTTGGTTCAAGCATCAGGTGCTCCACAATTCAATGTTTAGTAATTTTTATGAAGCCATTACACTACATGATAACTAAACTACAACCTCTCAAACTCCTAAATTCTCCATGCACTGCTTTGCTTTGTGCTATATGATTTGGTATTTGGTTAAGCCTTAAACATACCCTTTTGGCTAAATTATCTTAGTTTTGATGCCACGTTTTTTACCTCTTTGTTCTGTCCACCGATTCCAGGGATGTTGCGGCGGTTTGCATTTCAGCGACGTTCTTCTGCTAAATCTGGACACAATGGTTTGGAATGCTCTTGTATCGACTGGTCAAGGACCTGGTCCAAGAGACAGCCACAGTGCTGTTGCTGTGGGCCAGAGAATGATAGTATTCGGCGGCACCAATGGCTCCAAGAAAGTAAACGATCTTCACATACTAGATTTTGCAACAAAAGAATGGATACAACCGGAGTGTAACGGGACTCCGCCTTCACCTCGTGAAAGTCACACTGCCACACTTGTTAGCGAGGAGAAATTAGTGATATTTGGGGGCAGTGGAGAAGGTGAAGGAAATTACTTGAATGATTTGCATATTCTAGATCTCAAGACTATGACATGGACTTCCCCTGAAGTGAAGGGTGATATTCCCATCCCTAGAGACAGTCATAATGCTGTTGCAATAGGAAACAAGCTCTTTGTATATGGCGGGGACTGTGGTGACCGGTACAACGGCGATGTTGATATGCTTGATATTAACACACTTACTTGGTCAAGGGTATAACGTTTCTCTGTGTTATGTCACTATCTCAAAATATGGATGGCATATGAATATTAGTATAATTCTTGTATATTCTCAGCAAGTTGAAACTGAGGTTGCTGGTATGTTTTTCTTCAACAGTTGTCTGTTCAAGGTTCTTCACCGGGTGTGAGAGCAGGTCATGCCGCTGTGAACATTGGTACAAAGGCAAGTTTTTCCCTTTTGCTTTCCAGAGTTCAAGAACTAGAGTTACTTCCTTGTGACATGCTTATTATCTGAGAGTGAATGTCGCAATATATCTTTATGTTTTTCAGGTTTATGTCATTGGAGGGGTTGGAGACAAACACTACTATAATGATGTTTGGATCCTAGATGTAAGTACTTGTTCTTGGATGCAGCTTGATATACGAGGCCAGCAGCCGCAAGGGCGGTTCTCTCATACAGCTATTGTTACAGATCTTGATATAGCTATCTATGGCGGGTACTCTCATTCGCTATGCTATGTCATGTTTTCCTGGCCACTTACCTAACATTAGTTTCCATTATAATTTTGTCTATCATGTGGGTTTGAACTTTTAGGTGTGGGGAGGATGAGCGTCCTCTCAATGAGTTATTGGTGTTGCAGTTAGGAGCCGAGCATCCCACTGGCCGTTACAACATTTCCATGTGCAAAATCTTTGGAAACCATTGGAACCAAGAGAGAAGGTCCTCAAGAGAAGGGAATAACATGGTAAAGTGCAGAGTTTAGACTTGCGTTGATTATACAACTTATATAATGATTATACAACTTATATAATAAAGAGGGAGCTTATTATATTTGTGGATGCAGAAAGCCATGATTTTGGGAAATAATGCAGCAGTGAGAGAGCACGCCTATGAACCCGAATCAGAGAGCAAGCGGCCACTTCCATTCAATTCAGGTTGGATTTAAGTGACAAAAATCTCATCCTCTTGGTAAGGAACAATGCGATTTAAACTTGCTTTTTTATGTTTTCAGATACTTTACATCCCAAGAGGAGGAGAACCACAACTGCAAAAACATGGGATGTTGAATCAGAGCAAGAGGAGCACTCTCTTTCACTTTCCCACAGTTTATCTCCATCGCTGTTCATCTCCATCGCTATCTGATCAAGAGCAGACAGCAACACAGAAAGCTGCTGATTCAGCTACGGGTTCTCAAGGATTTCATTTGTTTAAGAAATTAAGTGAGATTCCAAGCAATGACAAGAAGTCTCACAATGCTTCAAGTAAGCAGAAAGAGGCCATAAATGCCATCCACAGAACTCCAAAGGATCTTCATCTTTTAGGAGAATGTCATTCTCAACCAAGTGCTAACATCAGTAGAAATAGTATGCAATTCTCAGAACAAAAGTTCCTGGATGCGGGGTCTCTTCAAAATGCGGTAAATTGCACTATATATTGTGTTCGTTTGTAATGACTCTTGCATGAGAATTGATTTTGACATGCTTGCCTTTATCCATAGATTGGTGCCGAGGTTCGAGGTAAAGTCGACGGGGCATTTGACTCGGGTTATCTAATGACTGCAACAGTCAATGGAAAGTTATTCAGAGGAGTCTTGTTTGCACCAGTAAGCTTCAAAAACTCCCCAATTCTAGTTACAAAACTTGCTCAATGTCTCAAAATTTGCAAGATAAACACTAACCTTTTTGTAACTCGAAACCACCATCCAGGGACTTGGACCCATCCCGAGAGGTCCGATTCTTGCACAGAATCCACACATGGCTTTGGCTCAACCATTGCCGAATCACTCGAACCACCTTGAACCACGCGTCAGGCTTTTCCAGCAGCCAATGAAGAGCTCCAGTTTGGGGCCTGGCCAGAGCTTCCCGCATCAAGTGGCCCGTCCGTTCCCAGTCTTCAGAGCCAGTTCGTCAAATATGCCTAAAGAACCAAGCCTTAGAAGTGATCTTCAAGGTGTGGTTTTAACGCTGGGAGGACCTGGCAGCAGCCAGCATTAGCTGGAATTTTCAGTTTTTTTTCCCCTTTCATTTGAAGTTTTGTAAATCTTTGGATATGTAGTTTTTTTCAGTTATTTTTTTTTTTCTGTTCCAAAAATTCCCTTCATGCGCTATCAAGTCCAGGCTTGTAGAGGTAGTTAAGTTAGTCTATGGTTCATTTGTTATTGTACTTGATCGGCCGGTATTTACTTTGTTAATGTAGTCTTAAGAGCTTCCAATTTCATCATTTTGCAAAATGTTTTATGCTCTGTGAAAACTAATATTTCATTGTTTGTCTACAATCTGCGTTCCCTAAAGCACTTTGGAAGAAAGCCCACCCCTTGATAGGATTTCTTGGTTTGGAAATATTACCTTTAATTAGTCATTTGAAACGGGATTGTAGTCATTTACCCACATGAGCAATTTTAACCATGCTAGTTATTTTATGCTTTTAGTTAAAATAGTTAATGATTTAGTTAGAATTTAGTTTTTTTCTACTACAATCATTAATTAAATGATTAGCTATTTTAGATAATCTATTTCACACTAGCTAAATATAACTAGCAAGAAGTGGAAGCTATTTGATTTTTTGTATTATTTTATTGTTTTAAACTATAATAAATGTAAAGGTTGTTTTGAAATTCAATAAATAATTTATATTTTTAAACTCAATAAATATTAAAATAATCTATACTTACTTGCTTTCTTTACTGCATAAGGGCATAAGCGAAGTCAAGAGATTTCCTTCTAACTAGTGGCTGAGAGTAAGCAAGCTACCTTCATTCAACAGATTTGTGGTTGAGTCAATAACATGCTCTGGGTCGGGAATCTTTGCTCTTCTCTTTTGCATTTCCGCTGCCTGCGTTCTTCTTCGTGTCCGTCCGTATCGCAAAGCTGGTCGACGCCAGCTGTAATGGTTGAAAATAGGGGGCCAACCAAGACCCCTAATAAATTTGTTCGATAAAGCAAACGATTCGTTCCGACAACTTCGGACCAGATTAATTTGAATTAGCCGATCTTACAAAATCGATCGGGCGGGCTGGTTGGGAAGGGGTGATTAGCGGAGAAAAGAATCGCTGAGAGATAGATTCTACTCTACTATTTAGTCAGGACGAATGAGTGGCTGTGCAGCATGCTCCGGAGGAGATTGACCCTTCCCCGAGTCAGTCCAGTCAGAAAGGGGAGGGCCCGCTGTCTAGACTGCATTTCGGGAGTTTGAACACCATCCCATTTCAACCAAAAATACAACCCTGTCAAAGGTATCTAACCTTCCTTCCTTATGAGTGGAAATCAAATCCCGTTTTGTCTTTTTTGCATAAAAACCAGCCAGCCGAGCTTATCGACTTCTGCCTCTACCTACCGCACAGCGTTCTGTTGCTTGGTGGGCTGCATATATAGTTGGCTGGTTATTTGTCTTTCCCATCCCTGCTGCTACTGCAGGTGCCCGGAATTCATGGATTCTCTGGTAGAGGGGAGTCGAGGTGGCATTTTTTTTTTGGGCTCTTCCACGAAAAGAAAAGGGGCGGCATCGTCGTATGCTCGACATTTGTTGCCCTGGTGTATATCCCGGAGTACTCCTATGGCCGAGAGGCTCTTTCTTACTTATTCTCGAATCCCCTGCTCTTAGAGACTCGTACAAAGAAGAAAAGAAGTGCAACAGCCTCTGACGCCCCACACCATTGCGGCAGGAGGGGGCTTGCCCATCAGCCTACTTTGGCAAGAGGTGGCAGGAGCGCAACGATCTAGCCCAAACCTACTTAAACTAAGGGCTTGGCCCGGTCTGAAGGAAGAAGAAAGTAGACCCCACTTATTTGTCAAACTAAAAATAAGATCATAAACTTTAATGAGAAAGATCTAAAAACACAAGATCTTTCCTTAAAAAAATACAAGACACCAATCAAAAAGTTGAAGTGAAACAAAAAAAAAAAAAAAAAAAAAAAACAGTGCAAAGCTATCATTCTCTCTTGTTTAACAGGTTAATTTTGGAAAAAAATATTTTAATGAGAAAGATTTAAAAATACAATATTTCTATTAAAAAAAGGAACGTTGAATTGAAAAAAAAAAAAAGTGCAAATCAGATTTATTAGATTTAAGATGAATGTTGTGTGTGTAGAATATAAGACTAATTGTTGGTATATATAGTTTGGCTGTGATATCACATTTACATTTCAAAATTTGTTTCATGATAACTAGTAATTTGTGTGAGTGTGAGGTGTGAGAAGGTAAATAAGCTAAAACTAAATTTAAACCATTATAAGCTAAGTGAAAATGAATAAGTTTATACCAATAGATTGGTGAGGTTGAAGTATACTTTTTTTACACTCATCTTCTCTTCTTATAGATAGAGAGATATTTCTTCCCTATTATATTAATCAATAAAAGAAACTTGCTATTAATATTTTTATTTTTCAAATAAAAAAAGAAATAAATAGTGTTCTCATGTCCTCAATCCAACACCCACCTTAGCAATTTATAATTAAAAAAAAAAAAAACTCGCTATTAATATTTTTATTTTTCAAATAAAAAAAGAAATAAATAGTGTCATTATGTTCTCAATCCCCACCTTAACAATTTATTGGGGCCACACATAAAACGGAAAAGCACCTAACCCGAGAGTCCAAAATCATCCTGCCCAAGCCATATACAACAAGCTAATAAGAGACATAATTATCATCTCACTTTGGACAATGAGAATTGATTCTTAAGAACTAGCTGAGAAAACCCTTATAGGTCGCCCATTGGTGCTTGGTGTACCACTAATAGTGTAATCATAAGTGTGTCTTTCTTTATTCTCTGCACAAAATGTTTCTAGATTTAAATCTTGACAATCTTGATATAGAAAGTCTTGCCCGACTAATATTCTATGCAGCGTTAGACGTGTAATAGTTTACATAAAATTAGGTAGACACTTTCAGAATTTCTTCTAATTCAAGACAATAAGAATAGAAATTAGATGACACGAATGATTTTTTTCAAAGAAAATAATTAGAAACTTGTCACATTAATTAGTCATTAGTAGTATACCGACTCGGAATTTAAAAAATTATTTAGTTAGAAAATTCATATTCGATTTAAATTATAATTTATGATTCATTATAATATTTTTTTTCATAAAAAAATATATATAAATTAAAAATAATTTTAATTTTATAATTTTAATCTATAAATCAAACGTTTCCTAAATTTGTTAAATACTCACTTCTTTTGTTATACATGCTCTCTTTTACCTTGCATGGGCCAAAAAAAAAAAATCAAACAGTAAAGGGATTAAAAAAGCAACTGTCGGGTTGATTGCATTAACCAAGGGGAGAGAGTGGGTCCCATTCGCAGAACAAATTGCAGTGTGCAGGTAAAAGTATGAGAGATTCGAGATTCTTCGGAGAAGGAGGGGCAATATGGGAAATGATGATTCCCAGAGACAACAACATATCTCCCCCCGCGCATCGCGCGCGGGCGATGATGTCCCCAAAAAGCAAAAAAAGCAGCAGTCGCTGTCAACCGTCGATATGTCTGCCACGTCATCAAACGACGCTGATTGATTGCCGTTTAATCTGAAAGGGTAAAGGTAAAGGAGAGGGATCCCCCGTTTTTTTTTTTTTTTTTTTTTTTTTTTTTGCAGTTTTGAGTTTGACGCGACCTTTCCGTCTGTCGTTTCGTCTGTTGTGACGTTGGGTGCTGCGTCATCAGCACTGCACTGCACTGCGCTGACTTGTCTCTCAATCTCAGATTCCCCAAACTTCCCATCCTACCGAAACACGGGTTGGCGTGGGTCCCATTACCAATGTTGGACACCCATGACACGTGTCATTTTCTTGCAAGTCGACTTACTTATAGGGTGGGTTTTAATGGTGAATCTCATTAATATCCCGTTAAATTAAAAAAAATATGTAATAGACAGTTTTAGATAATAGTTATAATATATAAAATTATAAATAGTTTATTTTTTTTAATTCTATAAAAAAAAACTCTCTTTGTTATTATTTTTTATTTGCATTTATCCGATAAGATTTTTCTGTCAATACGCGTCAATTTTTGGTCAATAAATAGGATCAAATACATTGGGCCTGTTTGGTAGCATTTCCATTTTCGTTTCTCACATTTTTCGATGTAAAAAATTAAAAACGGAGATAAAAAACGTGTTTGGCAAAATTTGTGTCAGAAAACAAAAACGAAAATGGCTTTGTCGTTTTCCGGAATTTTGAAAACGGAAAAAAGCCGTTTTCGTTTTCTTGTTTTCATTTTCGGATTCTTCTTCTTCTTTCTTCCTCGATCATCCTCCCGTTTCTGCTTCTTCCGATTTTTTCTTCCCCTTCAGCCGAGCTCTTCTTCCTCCTTCCCTTCCGTTCTTCAGCCGAGATCTTCTTCCCAGCCGAGCCCCGGCGTTCTTCTCGCCCAAGAGTCGCGTCGTTTGCTTCTCACCGGAGCACCTCCGTTCGCCTAAGCTCCTCCAGTCTCTTGTTACCCAATCTGCGCCGTTCTCTGTTTTCTCACCGAGGTATGCCCCTAGCCAAAAATATTTAAACGTGTTTGATTTTTCCAATCGATTTGGAAGAGCAATTTGTTTTTTTATTTTTCTTTTCCGGTTGTCTCGCCGTTTGATTTGCTTATTCAACCAAATCGGTTGCTGTTTTCCATTTGATTTGGTGTTTGTTTTCTATCCTATGCTTGATCTGATCTGATTTTTTTCCGTTTTTTGTTTTTCTTTTTCCCCTGGAGGCCCCCGTTGGGGTTGATACAGCCCTTGGGGGCCTCCCATTGGGGTTGTATCAACCCCTGGGAGGCCCCCCCATTGGGGAGGAATCAGCCCCTGGGGTCTCCCTTTGGGGCTGGCCTGGGAGGCCCCCAGTGGGGGCTGAAATTCAGCCCCCATCAGCCCCAATGGGGCCTGATTATCAGCCCCCGTTGGGGCTGAATCAACCCCTGGGGGCCTCCCTTTGGGGCTGGCCTGGGAGGCCCCTAATGGGGGCTGAAAATCAGCCCCCATCAGCCCTAATGGGGGCTGATTTTCAGCCCCCATCAGCCCTGATGGGGGCTGATTGTCAGCCCTGATGGGGGCTGATTTCAGCCCCCATCAGTCCCCATAAAGGCTGATTGTCAGCCCTGATGGGCGTTGAAAATCAGCC